GCTCTTGTACACACTGAACAAGAAATAAACTGTTATTTTGTTTTTGGATGACATTAGCATTTACAGAGACATGCCTGCCTAGTCAGTTTCACTGCCCTGACCATCGATGTATTGATCTATCTTTTGTCTGTGATGGGGATGAGGACTGTGTTGATGGATCTGATGAGAATAATTGTGGTAAGTTAATTGCTTTATTTTTATTAATGTTTAGGAAAAAATCTCAATGCTTAGTCATTTTCTCTTTGAGCTAATTTTTAATGTTTTTCTCTTTTATTTTTAGTAATTAATTGTACAGCTTCTCAATTCAAATGTGCCAGTGAAGATCAGTGTATTAGCGACGCATATCATTGTGATGGTGTTTTTGACTGTAATGACCATTCTGATGAGAAAGACTGTCGTAAGTGCATATAGTCAGCATATTTCAGGAAAAAGGATCATTTCATTTTTATCAGTTTAGATAGATATCGCCATGGATTTTCTCTAACTCAGACAAACTGGAGGGAAAATAGATTGAATTACAAAGTATTGTCATATTGTCAAAGGAATGCAGTAGTGAACATACAGTAAGTTGGATAGGCATTATTAAATGATTTGTAATTTGTGAATCAAGTGATTGTACAAATGGACACTTTCAAGTAGTCTCTTAGGTAGGTTAAATATTTCTTGAATATTTTTGTTCTCCCTATTAGTTTTGGACATCTCAAGTTAGTGTGGTTTTCGAATTTTTGAGGGTTACCATATCTAAAGATATTTAATGGCTTAAATCTCAATCAGAAGTCAAATCATGGTATAGATATGGTATAAAGTGGTGTATGATATTGGTTCTAATCATTTCATTTTTCAGCTTTTATTTGTTGAATATCTGCTAAGCTGTTACCCAGGTCTTTGTCCAAGAGTCTGGAAAGAGAAATTACAGAAAGTAAGAGATAAAGCAAGGTAGACAGTTAAAAGGGCCTTATGAATGATACAGATAAAATTCTATGGAGGTTTGGAGAAAAGAAATTCTGTCTAGTCAGAGGATTCAAGGAGGACTTCAAGAAATGTAAATCTGATGAACCTAGAATCTCCATAGGCTAGAGACCTGTAATGAACAGAACTTGTTATTGCCCACTTTTTGTGTTAACTGAATTTTAGACTTGTAAAAAATTGTCAGTGAGGCAGTCATTGTTTGAATAATAGTATTTTGGACCATTCCATTAATTGCCCTCCCTAATCACTTCTTTTCTAAGAAGTGTTTAAATTTAAGGATAAAAAAGAGAAGGTAAACAAAATTCTTACATACTTTAGAGGCTTCTATAAACCCAGAAATTCTTAATCACTGATCTCCTGTTTCACATTGAAAATATGAGATTCCTTCTGTGATGATCTTGACACTAACTTGCTGTGCCTTCCCTTTGAGGGAGTTTGGGTTTATCTCTGTGAAGTAGGAAAGCAGTTCTTACCTACTTCTCAAGGACTGGTCAGTGAATGGCAGAAAGTTTGCAAAGAATTAAGGATTTATTGTCACCTTTTGTTTACTTAATGTGTCTGCTTTCATTGGATATAGTTCATTTGAGGGAAAACTATAATATCCAAATATATGATATTAAACACATGAATTCAAAGTAAATATAGCTTAATAGCTTAAATAAGCTCTGTTGAAATACTCTGGTGATTCTTTCATAAAGAGACAGAGAAATTTTAATATTTAATATATAATTGAAGGAGCATTAGAAACATAGGAAACAGAATTTTCTTTTGACTCAGGGATTTACTTTCTATTCAAGCATTGTGCATCATGATCTTAGTTGTCAGATCCACTAATCAGTCATATAACAAAGATTTCTGTGTGCCACAATATGGGAGAAGATCCGATGTCATTTTAGATTTTAATATTAGATTTGTTATAGTCATTATTATAAACCCACCATTGATTCAAAAATCATTTCCTCTGAATTTTGGAATTCTGTGAAAGGGATTATGAATTATATTCACAAGCCCATTTTACCCATGCTTTTTTCCTAGCAACCAGGCCTCCTGGTATGTGCCATGCAGATGAATTTCAGTGTCAAGAAGATGGTGTCTGCATTCCGGGGAGCTGGGAGTGTGATGGTCACTCAGACTGCATCCTTGGTTCTGATGAGCACCATGGCTGTGGCCCCAGGACCTGCCTTCCATCTCATTTCCTCTGTGACAATGGAAACTGCATTCACAGAGGGTGGCTCTGTGATGGGGACAATGACTGCATGGATATGAGTGATGAGAAGGACTGTCCCACTCAGCCCTTTTACTGCCTCAGTGGGCAATGGCATTGCCCCGGCTATAGCATCTGTGTGAATCTGAGTGCAGTGTGTGATGGCATCTCTGACTGCCCCAATGGGACAGATGAGTCCCCATTTTGCAGTAAGTTTCCTGACCACAGTGTACTGGTCATAAATTCATTCTGAGCTGTGGCCTGCTGTGCTCTACCAATGACTTGGTCACTGTGTAGTTTTGCAGGAAGGGATTTCATTTCCTCTTTGCGTTTAAGTCTGTGTGGGGGTAACCATCTTGGAATTTAACCATCACTGGATATATTTCTCATTAAATCCTTTGCACTTGGTTCTGTGTTTTTACTTCTTTTTATATCATTAAAAAAATGAGACTAAATGAGGCCATTAGACTGTCAAATTAAATTTGGTTTTGTTTGTAATATGCTCATAAGTTTTTCTAACTTTAATATTTTCTAATTTTAATCAGAACTTGCCACAAAACAAATGAAGTCCAGGGATTTATGTTTGCTGTGATTAAAATCCTGTGATTGGCATGTAATCCTAATTACTGTCCTTTCTCTCTTTCCTCTTTAATCAATGCTCACTTTCAGATGAACCCCATCCAGGTATGATTGCAAAGTATTTTAAATTTTTATGATTTTATATTCATTTTGTTTGTGCTGAAAATGTCCTAATTATTTTGACTTACTTCCCCTTCTAATGCATGTTTCACATCACAGCTCTTATAAGTAAGTCACAGCACACATGGACATAGAGGGCACTCGCATCCCCAGCATGTGGCCTGCCAGCTTCGGGCGTTGCCATTTTGGCCCCGACAGTAATCATGTTGGTGGATCTGTGTTCTGATTGCCTTTCCCCTTCCATTTATTCACTTTCATAGACTTTCCAGCCCTTGCTCTTAAATGTCAATTTTCCATTTCTATGAAAAATGACAGGAAGCAAGTGAGAGGTAATTAAGGACTCTTTGCATATTTTATCAATGACAGTTGTGTTTCTTGATGTCATCAATATTTCCAAATATTGCACTGAATGGAGATATAATAAAGGGTTGTGGTGAATAAAGTTGTCTAAGTGGATAGTAAAATCCTTAGGTACATTAGGGAACACACTGAAAAACCTGCAGAGCTCATCCAAGTGAATTCTGCTCTTAGTTCTTACCTGTGTGCTTTGTTGAAGGTGGCATGAGACTGTGCGGCAAATATCACAATAGAGGGAGAACCAAAGAGGCAAAGACTCCTGACTTTTTCCCCTTGTGATTCTCTCCCTTTATTCTAGACCAGGACAGCTGCTCAGATTCCAATGCTGGTTGTACTCACCAGTGTATTCAAGGACCCTTTGGGGCTCAATGTGTCTGTCCATTTGGATACCTGCTTGCCAATGATTCTAAGACCTGTGAAGATATAGATGAATGTGACATTCCAGGCTTTTGTAGCCAGCACTGTTACAATACGAGAGGTTCTTTCCGGTGCTGGTGTGACAAAGAATACATGTTAGACGCTGACCAGAGGACTTGCAAAGCTACAGGTAAGGACTGAATTTGAAAATCAACTAACTCCAGCCAGCTTAACAGCACACCTCAGAGCTTGAGATCAAGTGTTGCATGTAGGCATTTGACAATGTTTGATTAGGAACTGTATGGACTTGAATCCTGGATGGGTTATGTAGCCTCCTTAAAACTCAGTTGCTTGTGAAGATTAAATGAGTGAACACAGATACAGATCTTTTGGAAAATAGATGATAAAACATCTGTAGGTAGAAGATGATTTTTTTATTATTTAAAATAATATCAAAATGGTTTTTATATTATTTAAAAATTATTCTTGTGATTTATTTAGATATCTTTATGTAATGTGTAATTCAGTTCAACCAATGTTAATTGAATTTCTACTACATGAAAGTAATTATATTATGAATTAAGATATTGACTCAGCTACTTTAAAAGTGACCAAACAAAGGAATCTAGCACAAAACAGACAGTTTCTTTCTTTTTCAAGTAGGAGTCTGGATGGTAGACCATCCAGGGGGTAATGCTGGTTTGCAGTCCCCATGCTGTGGCTCCTGCTCAGGCCTTTGACCTCTCTCAGAAGGTGGGGAAAGGAAAGAGAAAGTGGAGGACAAGTAGCTTCTTTTTAAGGATATGGCCTGGAATTTGACACATCATATCTACTCACATCCTGTTGGTCAGAACCTAATCATATGGCCACTCCAAACTGAAATGGAAGCAGAGAGATGACTTTAGCTGGGTGCATGCATGCCACTCTAAAAAATGGCATTATTTATCACTAAAAAGGAAAAAGAGGAGAGGGATACTGGGCGATGATTAGAGGTCTCTGCCACAGCTGAATGTTGTGGGGAAAACAAAAACATTTAAGATATGATTCCTGGTATCAAGAAGCCTAAACCCAGAAAGGAAAATAAGCAAGGTACAAAAGTAACTATAGTAAGAGGAAGAGTGCAGGTATCGTTTGCCCCAGATTGATATATAGACAAACAATGAAGTATAATTCAAGGAAGAATCTTATTTCAGAAGAAGCTTATTTTAAATACTCATCAAGATCAGCTAATTGTTAAGGTAAAGAATGAAGTGGTCAAAAGCATTCTTAGAGGGATTTTCGTGTTTTCCCATTTCTAAAGTTTGGAATTACATCTTCATTCTGTTACCAAAAGTATTGAATCAAATATTAAAGAGACACTTTAACTGTGTTTTCTCCCAGAATCATTGACATTTTTGCATTTTCTACTTGGCAGCTTCTGAAAGTCTGCTGCTCCTTGTGGCAAGCAGGAACCAAATTGTTGCTGACAATATCACTTCCCAGGGTCACAATGTCCAATCACTCATACAGAATGGTTCTCACATCGTAGCTATTGACTTTGATTCTGTCAGCGGTCGCATCTTTTGGTCTGATGGAACTCAGGGTAAAATCTGGAGTGCGCTTCAAAATGGAACAGACAGCAAAGTAGTAAGTACATTTCTACTGACCTGTGACCTGCCTGGTTTCCTTGTCTTGGGTCTATTTTCTATTACTTACCAGTGAGAAAGGCCGTATCTCACCCTGGGTAGCTCTCATCTCTTCTGGGCCACATCATGCCCAAGAGGCCTGAACTTTCATAACTCCTCATTTATGGGTGTTTTAGATAAGAATGTGGCCTCTGAAAGCAGATTCATGTTTTTTGATTCCAGGTCCATAATGCAGAGATTTCACAAAGTCTCTGAGGTCCCTTTTGTGATTTTCTTTTTTTCTTGTGGATGAAAGCAGAGGAAAATGCAGGGAGTTAAGGGTGTTTTTTTCTTAGATTTAATTTAGTTATGTTTCTCAATCCATCTCCCAAAGTTTCAGCTTCATGATCCTTGATGGTTATATTTCCTCTGCTCCTTAGAACTTGATTTTGTAATTGCTGGCACTTAATCAATAAAGACATTACTTTTGGCATGTGAACAATATAAAGTTTCATAGGGTTGCCAACTTAGCAAATGTGTAGAGCTTTTGTTTAATTGCAAAAACTTTAAAAGCAAATGAAGCCACACATTAATCCAACAATAAGTTGCCATAGAGTGTTCAATTCTACTAAATCTTGTATATTTTCCCTAGAAAACTCTACTATTGATTTGGTGGTTAGCTACATGGAAAGACAAAATTTTCTAATTCTCACAATCATAGGACAAGTTAGATGCTTTATTATAGATTTTCATATAACTTCCATGTTTGCATTAATTTATTCCCTTTTGAATTCACTGTTTATTCACTTTTATTTGTAGATAGTTGACAGTGGTGTCACCATGACTGAAAGTATTGCAGTAGATTGGGTAGGTCGCAAACTTTACTGGACAGACTATGCTCTGGAAACAATTGAAGTCTCTGAACTGGATGGGAGGTACCGGACTGTGCTGATTAGTGTCAATGTAACAAATCCAAGAGGACTAGCATTAGATCCTAGAATTAGGTAAGACTTTTTTTTTTTTTAAATGATGTTGCCTTGACATGGTTATGAGGGAAAAACAATAGTAGCATGGTATGGCTGATATGGATATCACAGAATTTAGAATGATCCCTTGTTTAAACATCTCCATAAAAGTGGTAACAACCTTGTCTCTATCCTTTTATCTGAATAGTTTTCTTCATAAAGTGCACAAGAGCAGTTGATTGTTTACTCTATTGTAAGATCACATTGATTTATATCAGCTGGCGATTGAAATGATTGTAATACAATTATATTATTAAGTTTCTCATGAAAATACAGTAATATTACATAGATGGGCCAGTTTATTGCAACTTTGACACCTCATGGTTACACACGAAAAAAGCCAGACTTTCCTGTTGCCAGTTTCATGTTGCTTAATAGAGCTCCCTTTTATGTCATATGAGGAAGAAAATTTTTTATTTATTTTATTTATTTTTATTTTTGCGATCATTAATCTACAATTACATGAAGAACACTATGTTTACCAGGCACCCCCGCCTCACCAAGTCCCCCACACACACCCCATTACAGTCACTGACCATCAGCATAGCAAGGTGCTGTATAATCACCACCTGTCTTCTCTGTGTTGTACAGCCCTCCCCATACCCCCCCACAACACTATACATGCTAATCATAATGCCCCCTTTCTTCTCCCCCTCCTTATCCCACCCTTCCTACCCATTCTCCCCAGTCCCATTCCCTTTGGTAACTGTTAGTCCATTCTTGGATTCTGTGATTCTGCTGCTGTTTTGTTCCTTCAGTTTTTCTTTGTTCTTAAACTCCACATATGAGTGAAATCATTTGGTACTTGTCTTTCTCTGCCTGGATTATTTCACTGAGCATAATACCCTCTAGCTCTGTCCATGTTGTTGCAAATGGTAGGATTTTTTTTCTCTGATGGCTGAATAATATTCTATTGTGTATATGTACCACATCTTCTTTATCCATTCATCTACTGATGGACACATAGGTTGCTTCCATTTCTTGGCTATTGTAAATAGTGGTGCAATAAACATAGGGGTGCATCTGTCTTTTTCAAACTGGGCTGCTGAGTTCTTAGGGTGAATTCCTAGAAGTGGGATTCCTGGGTCAAATGGTATTTCTGTTTTGAGCATTTTGAGGAAACTCCATACTACTTTCCACAATGGTTGAATCAATTTACATTCCCACCATCAGTGTAGGAGGGTTCCCCTTTCTCCACAACCTCGCCAACATTTGTTGTTGTTTGTCTTTTGGATCGTAGCCATCCTTACTGGTGTGAGGTGATATCTCACTGTGGTTTTAATTTGCATTTCTTTGATGACAAGCGATGTGGAGCATCTTTTCATGTGTCTGTTGGCCATCTGAATTTCTTGTTCAGAGAACTGTCTATTCAACTCTTCTGCCCATTTTTTAATTGGATTATTTGCTTTTTGTTTGTTGAGGTATGTGAGCTCTTTATATATTTTGGATGTCAAG